ATTTTATGACATTCTGGCCAGAACTTTTTTCTTGCAATACTTTATTCTCATAATTTTATGACTATTCTCATAACTTTTTTCTCATAATATTACGACTTTATTGTTGTAAATTCACGAGTTTATTCTCGTAGTGTTATGAATTTATTCTCATAATTTTACGAGTTTATTCTTGTAATTTTATTACTTTATTCTCGTGATTTTATTACTTTATTCTCATATTGTTATGACTTTATTCTCCTAATTTTATGACTTTTCTCAATGCGACTTTATTGTCGTAATTTTACGACTTTATTCTCAAAATAGAAAAAAAATCTCAAGCCTGGCCCTAATACTCTGTCGTAGGAAAGAGACGTTATTACGCAAACAGAGTGGGAAATGTTTCTGCTAATCTAAAACCTCTACATTTAGCCGATGTTTTAGCGCTTTAGTTCGCTAGTTTTCCATGAAGATGATTCCTCTGCCTTTATTCCCGACAAAACCTTAATTTTGAAATCAGAACATCAGCCTCAATAATGATTGGATTATTGTTATTTCTGGGTATTTTCTACTTCTTTTTCTTTCTTTTTTTTTTGGCGGGGGGTGCTAACCTCAGAGCTCTTTGAATAATACTTGAATTTGCATTTTTTTTTCCAGAAAACTGCTCAGTTAATAAAATCTAATATTTCCTCAGTTTTCTTCCTGCTCTTCTTCATGATAAGCTAAAGCATCAACACTGAACAGAAAGGGAGGATTTCACCAGCAGTTCCCCTTTAGTGGTTTAATCCAGCTTCACTATAGCCCATTTTAACCATGATGCAACGCTGCAGCTAAAGGATCTCATGGTGTTACTAATATTTACCTCTAATGTCTGTTTGAAGTCAAACCCACAGTCCTGGTATTTTTACTCCATCCCTGTGGATCCTTGTCTTGAACTCACCATTTTTCCTATTTAAGCTGAATCACTGTAATTATTGTCTCGGTGTGATTTGTGTTCAGTTATTGTTTGGCCACCGGATTCCTTTCTCTCGCTACATCCACGCATTCTCCCTTCTTTCTTAATTCATTGTGTTTTTTTGTGCTAACCTTTTATCGTCGGCTTTTCCTCTTACTGATGACATGTAAGCTTTTTGGTTTCTGACCCAGAGGGGGAAAAAAGATACACTTTTGTTAAATAAAGATGCTTCAAAATAAATGTGTTTTGAATAAACATATTTTGCATTTTGTCTTGTCTTATCAATTTATTTTTCTTAATCCCCTGATGTATGTATCACCCTTTTTTCCTCCTACAACCACAAATTACAATGTGTTTAATCAGGATTTAAGCAGCAGACCAACTCGGTATTTAACAGAAGATGTGAACACAATCCCCTTTTATTTAGGCACTGCTAAATAAAATAGCTGAGAATCCGAACGTCTCACAGACCACATTAATCATCTCACTGGATGAATGCTCATCAAGCGGCCTGAAGGACGGTTGTTACTTTGGAGGAGCTGTAGGGTAGTGATTAGAAGTGGAGTTATAACAAAAGCCATGTACCTTGATGGATGTAAGACATTTGAGACTCCGAGGTAAAGTCAGGCATGTAGCGCCCTCTGAAATGACAAGACAACCCACAAAACAAGTAAATTATACAGATATTTTAACAGAATGCAAATGCATTATTTACTTCACCTTTTTTTTGTATTTATGAATATTTGTGTTCCTCTTTTTTGCATTTCTTTCTTCTGTCTCACATTTTTTTTCTTTTTTCTCTCTGTTCCTTTTTTTCTTGTCTTCCTTTCTGTTTTCTTGTTGCCATCTTTGTATTTTGTCCTTAAAGTCTTATTTTGTAAGTGTTGCCCTCAGTAAATCTTGTAATAAGGAGGATCATGTTCACTGACTAAAGAATCCCCAAACCTTGACAGCTTTCTAGGAATTCAGCAGAACAACAAGAAACAAAAAAACTTAAAAGGATGGATTTCTCAAAGCAAAAGCCAACTAGTGATACTCACTATAGTTGTCATCGTTGCACTTGCTGGCAGTCGTGAGTTGCTAGCCACTCTGTAGTAACCCTACTCCACTTTTTGTAATTTTTAGTGTAACTTTATTTTCTTACCTCTTTTCCTATGTTTGCTGTTGTGTTCCTGCATCATTTCCTGCAAATGCAGTGAGATGAACTATTCCAATGCATTGGGGATTCAAGATGCACTTTCTGATGGCGTTTCAGCTAAAGGGTTTTAATGAAAAACTTAATATATGCAAATCCATAATAAATGTATTAACCATACATGTATGAGGAGTTTTATAGAGCCCTCAGCAACTTTTGGCTCTAGGTAACCGCTTAGTTTTGCATAATGGTAACTCTAAACCTGGCTACATACAGGAGACAGCAAAAATTGGATTAACATTCTTCTCGTTTCATGCTGAAGGAGTTGGTCCCTTCAGAAGAGACAAAGAAACTAAATCGTGGAACGTTTTGGAAGAAATTCTGCCAGTGGTGGGATGTGGAGACCAATAAAAAGTTGCTAACGTCCATCCAAACCAATAGAGATGTGTCTTTAGTCTTCCCTACAGTAAGTAAGAAAAACTAGTTGATTGCAGGGATTCATTGACTCTTCAGCAATCCCTCACACTGAGCAAGTATGTAGCGACAGTGGAGAGCAAAACTCCCTTTTAACAGGAAGAAACCTCCAGCAGAACCAAACTCATTGTGAGTGGCCATCTGCCGAGGCCGACTGGGAGTCAAGGAGAGGGAAGCAGAGATACAGAAAGAAGCAGAGATTCAAACTGCAGCTGTCAACCAGCTCCACAGGCGGCCCCGTCCAGGAAACACAGCCAGGAAGACAAGTAACAATCAAGTTCCCATTTTAGAGGATAAAAGAGAACACATACAGATAGTGGCAGTCAGAGAAACAGGACTACACTGAAAAACAGGCCGATCTTGAACATCTATAAACAAATGTCTTGATGGCAGCAGCACAGAGAATATATTTATGATAGAGGAAATCACATCTATGAAGTCCAGTCAAAGCATTGCTCTTGTGACATTTTTTGTTTTTTTTTTCATGCAGAATGTCTAAAGATCGACTGTTTAAAAAGAAAACAGCCATGAACTGAGAAGGGTGAGTTGCGGGGGCCTTTTGCGTATGCAGCAGTGCTCAGTTATGCTTTAATATTGAGTATAATCATAGAGTGGGTACATTGTTTTTTCCAGAATCAACATTCAAAGATGTATGATTTGAAAAAAAAAAAATTAATTACAAAGAGGAGCAGCTTTTATTTTGAATCAGTTAACAAGTCATCAGTTTATTATGACACTTATCAAGACTTAAAAAACTGTCATTTTGTATATGTGTAGTGTATACAAATCAAAATTTCATTTTATACAGCTTTCAGACAGGAAATAAGCAGCAGCTTAGCAGTGAAATGAACATTTCCATTTCATAAAATGC